GAACTCAAATGTCCACAAACTAATGAATGTATAAACAAAATATAGTATGCCCATACAATGGGATACTATCCAGCCATAAAAATGAATGAAATACTGACATGTGTTGCCACATGAATGAAACTTGAAAACACTAGGCCAAGTGTAGGAAGCCAGTCACAAAAGGTTCCTGTTATATGATTACAGTTATATGAAAATATCCAGAATAATCAGAGCCATAGAGACTGAAAACAGATGAGGGATTGCCATGGGCTGGGATGGCACAGAGGTGATGAGGAATGGGTGCTCACTGGATGCAGGCTTCCCTTCTGAAATGAGGTGGAAATGGAATTAGAAAGTAGTGGTAGTTTTTAAACACTGTGAATGTACTGAATGCCTCCAAATGGTACAGTTTTAGATGGTTAAAATGGTCAATTTTATCTCATGAGTTTTAAAACACACACACACACACACACACATATTACTTTAGGTACACAGATGTGCTATCTATAAATGTCTGGGATACCATCCAAGCTTGAAGCAGTAATGTAGAAGAGTAAGCATTGATTGCCAAGAGAAATTTTGGTTTGAAATATATCTATTTTTATAAGAACATGTTCATGTTTTAAGCTTGTTTTCTTTATTAATGTCTTAGGCTCACATACAAAGTAGTGGTTTTCATCATGGCATTTCAAACATGTTCATGTTTTAAGTTATTTAAATGACTTTAGTAGGAAATTTAAGTCAGGGCATGCATGGCATAAAGTCTAGAAGAATTGATCTGAAGGCAAATGTCATAGGAAATTCATTGTCTTTTTATGTTTCTGCATATTGAAATTTTAGCAACACACATGTAATATATATTTAATCAGAAAAAAAACATCAAGTGAGACGAGAACATGGGGCTGGAAAGATGGCTCAGTCAGTGAGAGCGCTTGCTGTGGAAGCATGAGGACCTGAGTTCGAATCCCAGCATCCATGTGAATAGCCTAACCTCAGCTCAGTGGGGAGAGAGATATGAGGATTGCTGGAGCTTCCACCTAGCCCCAGGTTCAGTGAGAGACCCTGCCTCAAAGGAGAAAGGTAGAACAGGACACTCTGCATCCTTCTGTGGCTTCAGTACATGTGCATGGTTATTTAAATGACTTTAGTCAGTAAATGTGCCCCCCCCAATACACAGCACTCATACATGAATCAAATAAAGAGAAAGAATGAGGAAGAGAGAGAGAGAGAGAGAGAGAGAGAGAGAGAGAGGAAAGTTGAGAGGAAACTGTGAGAAGCAGAGCAGGGATCGTGGTCTGTGAACACTTAGTATGAATCAGGAAGTTCATCCTACCTCTGCCTTAGTTCATTTTGTTGCAATTGTTGTTAATGTAATAAAGGACCTAGAGCCCAGTAATGTTATTAAAAAAAAAAAAAAAAAAAAGAAGCAGCAGCCCATTTAGCTCACAGTTGTGGACATTCAGGGGCATGACATCAGTGTTGCTCAGCTCTGATGAAGACCTCATGGTGGCTGGCATCTGAATGGGGGAATTTTCAGGGAGACAGCAGCAGTTCAAAGGTCAGACTCAGCCTTCTGCAACTGAGAGCACTCAGGGATCCCACAAGAAGTGCCTTAATCCCTTCTGAGGGCAGCACTGCCAATAATCTAAGGACCTCTCACTAAGACCTGCCTCTTAAATGTCTTACCTCTCAACATAGACACCTTAGGGGCCAAGTTTACAGTGTGTAAACTTTGGAGAGGTAGGGCACGCACAAGCCATAGGCAAACCACAGCACTCCCCAACATACCTACTGCACCTATGTGAAGAACTGCAAAATTATGAACGTAAAGGGGCAAGTGGGTTTTCCCAAGTATATACAAGAAGGAGACAAAGCCAGGATACTATGGCAACTTTCCACCAGGCCCGAATGGAGAAGGAGATCCCCAAGGAAAAGCAGGGAGTGGAAAACCTGGTCTGGAGGGGCTGTCCCAGAAAGATGCCCAAGCCCATAGCCCCTTCTAAGTGATCCCTTCTGTGGGAGTGGACTTCTGACCAGAGAACTGCTGTGTTCATACAAGGACAAATGCCTTTGGGGTGACTGGCACCTGGGCTCTGCTCACCCTGCTTCATAGTCTTTAAAAGAAGAAAGGTAAACTCTTTTCAGAACTTTGAACATGATGTAGAGTTTGCTTGGTTGAAGGTGGGGCCAGAACCTGCAACACATCTAGATGGACAGTCCCCTGGTGATGGTACGAGGCAGCAGAAGCCTCAAATACACATAACCAGGAGCCATGGAGTGCACATGGCATTACACAGGAGCCGTGGATAGTATACTACAGGCTACTGGCACCAAAAAGTCTCATGTAGAAACAGGAACAATAAAGTACATGCTAAAGCCAGCACAGCCTTCCAGATCTCGAAGGATCTACATTATCTCTGTATTGCTTGTTCCTAGAGATCCAGTCCTAACCATGAGTCCTAGAAACAGCTCTCTGTGAGCTCCCAGGAGATATGGCTGCACAGTGGCATGCTCACAGTGTGGAAGGACAGATTTGGGTTTTGTGGGATCTGAAGTATGTCTTTTAGAAGACCAATTTTCAGGGAGAAAAAAGCGAACAAAATTATAGATGTAAATGTAAGTGAGAATTCAGGAGAAGAAAAGAAATCATAACAAATTGCCAACTCTTTAAAGTTGATAGTAGCTCACATCAGGCGTATATTAACTGTTCACAGTTGATCACGTGGACATATCAAGTTGTGGCATACCATCATGGGGGCGCGGGTTCCCCTATCTCTAGCTTAAAAGGCTAGCGCTGAAAGCTTCATAATGTTGTTCCACTATAATACTCTCCCTGCTTTTAAAGCTGCATGTACTTTGACAACTTCATATGTTAATTTTGTATCATTCTCTGCAGAACTTTGTTGTTACTTGAAATGCATAAAGCATGTGATTTCACTTACAACTTACATTGTTCCTAGTTCTATTAGTTTGCTCTATAATCACAGAGATTCTGATAGATTCATTTTTCAAATTTATTTTTATTTTATGTGTATTAGTGTTTTGCCTGCATGTATGTAAGTGTACCACATGTGTATAAAGCCTACAGAGGCCAGAAGAGGGCATCAGATCCCCTCGAACTGGAGGTACAAATGGTTGTTAGCTGCCATCTGGGTGCTGGGAACTGAACCCAGGTCCTCTAGAAGAGCAGCCAGTGCTCTTAACTCCAGCCCGAGGTTCATTTTTAAAAATTGTGTGTGTGTGTGTGTGTGTGTGTGTGTGTATGTGCATGCACATAGGAGTGGGAGATATGCTCACCTATGCATGTGCATGTGGAGGCCAGAGGTCAACACTGGGCATCTTCCATAATTCATTCCATCTTTTTTTTCCTTTGAGACAGAGTGGCTCACTGAACTTACAGCTGAACATTTTGGCTGGGCTGGCTGGCTGGCCACCTGTCTTCACCCACTCCCCAAGTGCTGGGGTTACAAGTGCGTACTACCACGCCCAGCATTTTACATGGGTGCTGGGGATCCAAACTCAGGTCCTCATGTTTGTACAACAAGCACTTTATCCACTGAGCTAGTTCCTTTACCCCAATTCTGATAAATTCTGCTTTACAAAATTCTCATCAGAAAAAAAGAAAGAAAAGAAAAGCCATGACTGGAGATGCAGCTCAGTGTAGAGTGCATGCTTAGCACACACAAGCTCTGGGTTCAATCTCCAGGTCTACAAAATAATGGGAGAGGGGGACTGTCCTAGTTTGTTTCTTCGTTGCTGTGACAAAATACTCTGACCAATACTAACTTGGGGAAGAAAGGGTTTATTAGGCTTACATCCCCCAGGTCACAGTTCATCGGGGAGCCCAAAGTAGGAACTCAGGGCAGGAACCTTGGAGGCAGGAGCTGGAGCACAGGCCATGAGGAATGCTACTTGTTGGTTTGCTCTCCTGGCCCGTGTTCAGCTGCTTTCTCATACAACCCAGTACCACCTGCCCAGGGGTGACACTAACCATAGTGGACTGGCCCTCTCCCATCACTGAAAAATCAAGAAAATGCCTTGCCAGACATGCCTACATGCCAGTCCAGTAGAGGAAATTCCCCAATTGAGGTTCCCTCTTCACAGGTGTGTCAAGTTGACCATGGAAGCTATCCAGTAGAGTGATTACGACTTACATGGAGCTCTGCTGTTAAATGTAAATTATATATATATAATCCTAGCTCAACTTCCCCTTCATTACCTCCCAAAGAGGCTGCCATTCCACACAAACCACAAGAAGAAGGGTGGTGGAAGGTAGAAACACAGAGGCCCTCTAATCGAAGTTTAAGTACCTTGTTTTCAGAAATTTTGTACAAAAACATATACTTCTGTTGCTTCATGTTGCTTACACCCCTCCCAGAGGCCCTTACTCTTAAGTGTTAAGAGAGCAGCCTTAAGGACCCTCTTACACTCAGGGAAGTTGTGACTCTCTACTGCCACCAGGAGGTTCAGAAATAAGTGATTGGAAGGTGGAGAAAAAAATAGTATTAAGATGCCCAATGGGTCTGAGAAATAAACTAAAAGGCAAAGAAAACTGTAGCCCCATGAAGAATGGGAGTCGGTGAAAAGAGAGGCTGGCTGAGCCAGAAGGAAGTGCAGAAGGAGTGTGGTGGCGACCGCCTTTGATTCCAGCACTCCAGAGGCAGAGGCAGGCAGAGCTCCATGAGGTCAAACTCACTACATAGTGAGTTCCAGGCCAGCTGGGGCTGCAGGGAGACCCTGTCTGAAAAAGAGAGGAGGGGGGGAGAGAGAGAGAGAGAGAGAGAGAGAGAGAGAGAGAGAGAGAGAGAGAGAGAGAGAGAGAGAGAGAGAGAGAGAGAGAGAGAGAGAAGAGAGAGAGAGGAGAGAGGAGAGAGGGAGAGAGAGAGAGAGGAGAGAGAAAGAAGTAGATCAAATGCAAACAGATAGGGCCTGATGAGGTGGAGGCTTCCTGTTCAAGTGGGTGGAGTCCAGTGATGGGGTGTAACTAATTGAGGGTGGGGCTAAAGACTACGATAGCCTAGATGACAGATGAGTGGATTTCTAAAGACCAAGGTCATGGACATACGTGTTGTGAGTACAGCCCTTCCAGAAGGGACCTGCCAGGTGGACAATGAGCAGTGTGTAACGGTGAGTGGAGACTGGAAAGAAGATGAACAGGGTTTAGAAACAAGAGGGCAGAGCCCCTCCAGCCAAGTTCTCTTTCCTCTCAAATGCCAGAATTGGGGATCGGAATGGCAGAGAACCCCACTGAACATCTCCACATTCTTCCGTCCCCCTATTCAGTTAGAGAAGACAGCCATAAAGATTCAGTCATGGTGGCGTGGCAACTGTGCATCGGACACTACTACATGCAACACTCAGGGCATGGGTCATCCAGTGCTGGTGGAGGTCACTGCAGAACAAGACCTTGGAGCAAAGACGGTGCTTGGCACTAAAACTCTACAAATGCCGGGAGTGGGCAGTGGTGAAGGTACAGCCCCACATCCGCATGTGGCAGGCCCGCAGACAGTTCCTCCGGGCACACCAAGCAGCCTGCATTATCCAGGCTCACTGGCGCTGGGATGCCAGCCAAACCCGAGGCCTGATTCAGGGCCATTATGAGGTCAAAGCCAGTCGTTTAGAGCTCAACATTGAAATCATTATGACCTAGGATGCTGGCAGAACCAAGGGGGCTGGATCTATCTCCCAATAAAGACACTTACTGACCATAGACTTGCCCTGTGGAGATTAGACCCACAGAGAAGATTCAGCCCCTGACTTTCCTGTCTTCCACCCAGAAAGATTCCCTGATGTGGCACAGTGCCCATGTCCCCAGGGACCCATCTTAGAAACCTGCCTGCTCTTAATATCACACTTAGCCAGTTTTGCACAAAAGAATCAGCAGGGCCCAGATCAAGTACTAATGCCTCTATCAGCTGACTTCAGATCTCTCCACCGTGGGAGTAGGTCTTGGGCTTTGTTCTGTAGCTCCTGCCTCAGTATCCCCATTCAGAATCCAGATCCAGAGAGTCTGGCTGTAGTTGGGGGCAAGCCGGGAAAGCCGGGATTCTACAGCCTGAACCACAGGGCCCTGGGGGCCAGCACAGTGCTTGGTAGAAAGCCAAGAAGATGGGGCATCTCACCTGGGAAGCAGCAAAGCAGGAATGTGTCTCATGGGGTACATGGGGGAGGCAGCCCTCCAGAGCCAGCCCCTGGGGAATGCCAGTGCAGGATCCCAGTGGCCGCAGCTGTGACTGCTGCCTCCATCCCCTGGGGCTGAGCATCATGATTTCCCTCCCTCTACTGGCCACTTTCTGGGAGAAGCAGACAAGGGGTGGAAGTGGGGAGGGACAGCTGGGGTGGGTAATCAAGCAGAGCAGGGCTCAAAACCTCTAAATACTACTGTCCTCAGAGGCAGCTGTGTTATGCCCTCCCCAGGCTGCCACCCTCTGCTGGGCCAGCCTACGTGGCTGTTGAGTCTCCCTCTGTCTTGGCCCATCGCTCAGCTGGTCTCTCATAGTCTCTGCTTTGTTCTCTAGGCTTCAGATCCCTCTTCCCTGGATCCCTCAGGAGTCTGTGAACTTTTATCCTGAAAATCTGAGGTCTACTTCTCCTCCAGGGTCTTTGGGTTGTTGGTCCTGTATGAAGAATAGGACAAGTTGGAGGGTCTGTAGGAGGTGTGGGTGGTCTTCATGGGCCTTGTAGCTAGAGGAGGCTTCTGCCAACCGAGAGAGAGAGAGAGAGAGAGAGAGAGAGAGAGAATGAGAGAGAGAGCAGAGAAGCTGTGCCAGATGTGAGAGGTCAGGGTTCAGTCTGACACTCATCACCTCCAGTAGCTGCAGACGGCAATGGTGTATCTGAGTGTCTGGACTGCCTAACTGGGTGGTGTTCTTCCAAGAGATCCCCTTTCCAAAATCCAGATGCAGATCTCTCTCTTCTCACAACAGTGAGTGAAGTGGAATATGTTCGATCTATAGCTGAACATGATGGGAGTTCTTCAAGACCAACCTTGTTGGTGCCATACCATCATAACAAGTGTTTAAAACCTGAGCCGGCAAGAGTCGAAGACTCTAATTAGACCCGATAGAATATTGGCATCTCTGATGTCACTGAATAATACCATCCAACCAGAGTCTGCTTTGAGTGTGCTCACATGAAATATGTGCATCAAGATCCCAAAGCATGGCCACTGTTCAGGAACTGCTGAGTTATGCCCTTCTCAGTGGCTTGGGTAGCCTTCCTTGGAGATGATCATGCAAAATCCCAAACTGAGTCCAGCAGGCTCAAGGTCATCAAGGCTTTGTGTTCTCCAATGACCTGAGTGCAAAGTGAAGCAAGGCTCAGGAGGGAGCACCACTTTGGGTTAGAAACATGTGGAAGCAGAAAGACACATTCCCCCTGCCCCAACTCCTGTCCCTAGTTTCTGGGTATGAGATAGGATTAGAGAGGGAAAGTAGGCAGGGCCTCTTGTCTCATCAGGCAGATAATCATCCAAGGAAGATGGCACCACAAGAGGTTAAACAGTGGATACTCAAAGGCTAGAACTAGAAGGATGAAGATCCAAAGCCTTAACTGCCATCTTTGGTGTCCTTCCAGTGGTCAGAAGTCCTGAGAACCTCTGGATGATCTAGAACTATGGAGGTATTTTGTAGCACCCCAAGGTGAAGAAAATAAGGTGCAGGGTGAGTCAAGAGACAGGGCCCTCTTTGACAGTGTGAGCCGATCAAGGAAGATGTGTGGCTGCTGTCAGGGACAAGGCTAGCGGGCAGACCTTCAGAGGCAGACCTCACAGAATCTTGCCATTCCCCCCAGCATTGCTGAGGATTGAGCTGCATAAATATTTCTCCTTAAGAGTGTATATACTGAAGTACTGAATGGAAGAGGAGAGGGCATGCTTGAAGCTTTAGGACAGTGACAGGCCTAAGTGTAAGACTCTCGAAGGACCTGGAACTCTATCTTACTCCTCCCATAGGTGGCATGGCATTCCTAAGAGTTATATGTTCCAAGCCCTCCTATCAATAAAGGAATGTATTGACCCTCAGATTGGCTCAGCCTACAGGACTCTTAAGAAAGTATTCCAGTAAATTGAAAGCCCATCAAATTTACAAAATGGCCCCCCAGATGAAATCTAGTCATCTTGTCCCCAGGGTCCTGTCCTGTGCTCTTCTTAAATCCCTCATACATCACTGAACTCAGTTCTGATCACACAGCTCCAGGGTCTCCATCCTGCCTTGTCTACTGCTTCTCTCTGTCACACATGCCATACCCAAGATGAGGTGATCACAACCACTGCCATGCCATGCTGGGTAGCTTGACTAGACTGAACGACACCCCATAAGGGTGGAAATGCTTGGTGTATAGAACTTTTTGATCAGAGTTGGGGATATAGTTGGTGGACAAGCTGGTAGAATGCTTGTCTAGTATGCACCAAGCCCTGGGCTCGCTCCTCAACTCTACATACACTGGGTATGGTAGCACATATCTATAATCCCAACACTCAGGAGGTGGAAGAAGGAAGATTAAAAATTGAAGGCTACAAGTCTGTGTCTATAGTTACATGACAAGTTCTGGGTTACATGACACCTTAAACAAAGTCTCTGATCAGCTTTGCTTCTAAAAATTAAATTTGTTTTAAAAAGAGTCTAGAAGTGAATATCTGTCATGTAGAAGAACTGGGGTATGTTGAAAGAGAAAAGTGTTATCTGGTCACTGCCAAAGCTGTGATATATGAATATCCTGTGCCCACAAAGAACTCAGAATAGAATTTGACATTAAAGAGGGTGACTATTTGAGAGTGAAAGGGGCGCTGCTAGTAAATATGTTGTGAAAACTGGGACTTCTGGTCAAGCAGGGAGTTATCCTTGGGGTACAGAGGATGGCAGGAAGTAGAGGGCGAGTAGAGGTCAGAGAAAGAAGGTTCTAGCCACACAGGAAAAAAATGAAATCCCATCTATGTGACAGAGTATGAGGAAGCAGAGGTACTATTGCAGCGCCTGCGTGCTTCTACCTCCAACCCCTCCTCAAGTAGGTCACCTTGACAAGTTATCCCGACAGGAGATCTGAGTATATAACCTGGGGAGAGTGTGTGACTCAGAGGTCACAAAAGGCAAGGGAGGTGCCCAAATGGTGGGTCTGGGAGATGCCCCATGAACTCTAAACACCCCTCCTATGAAACTGCATAGTAGCCAGGATTCCTGGATCCCCAAGACAGGTGAGACAAGAAATTCCAAGAAGACTAGTGGTTAAAAGAGATCTGAGAATCCAGGCATGGTGGCACATGCCTTTAATCCCAGCACTTGGTAGGCAGAGGCAGGTGAATCTCTGTGAGATACAAGCCAGCCTGGTCTACATAGAGTTTTAGTCCAGCTGAGGCTACTGGGAGATCCTGTCTCAAAGAACAACAACAAAAACTCAAGCAAACAAAGGAATGAATGAATGGATAAACACATTGTGGTATATCTGTTCAATTTAATCTTATTCAATGTATTCAGTGATTTTTAAAAAATGAACCATCAGGAGCTGGAGAGATGGCTCAGCAGTTAAGAACATTTGCTATTTTTCCAGAGGACCTGGGTTCAATGCTCAGCACCCACATGGTGGTTAACAACCATCTGTAACTCTAGTTCAAGGGAATCTGACCCCTCTTCTGGCCTCTGTGGGGCATTACATGCATGTGGTACACTTACATACGTGTAGACAAAATGCTTATACACATAAAAGCAAAGAATAATTTAAAAAATATTTTATTTTATAATAATGTACCTGTGTTGTACAGTGCCACAGAGTTAAGAAGAGGGTATTGGATCTCTGGAACTGGGGTTACAGATGGTTGTTAGCTACCGTCTGGGTGCTGGGAATTGAACCCAGGTCCTCTGCAAGATCAGCCAGTGCTCTTAATTGAGGAGCTATCTCTCTAACCCCAATAAAAGATTTCTTAATGAACCATCAAGCTCCTATTAAGCACATGCACACACAATGATATTTTGGATCTGAAGTATTCTCAAAAGGTTCATGTGTTGAAGGTTCATGGTCCCCAGGTGGTATATTCAATCACAGAAAAGTGAACTGAGTCATGAGAGTACTGTCTTTGTCAGTGGATTGATTCATTAACGGATTCATAATTTGATAATGTGAATGGGAAGTGGGAAGAGGTAGAAACTGGTTGGAGGAAGTAACTCACTGAATCGTGTCTCAAGGGTATCCTATACCTGACACACGTTCTCTCTCTCAGTGAGAAAGGGGTTGCTAACAAATATATCCTGACTAAAAGTGTCCTGGTAACTCCTGAGCAAAGACTGACTAATACGCTGAAGAAACCAGGGCCCTTCTAGAGAGCCCAGGACTGAGATGGTGGCAGGAAGTTTTCTGCAAAGAAAAAAAGCACAGATTTTTTTACAGAGGGAGTAAGGGCACGGTGACAGTTTGAGGGCATTGTTGCATAGTCTTCAACCCTGCATTCTTCAGGCTGTATAGCAACTGGTAAAGGATGACACCTGAAGAAGAGATTGGAGACATCTCTGATGGTCTAGACATAGCAAGAGAGGAGGGTATGGAAGCTTTTGTAGCATGTCCACTTTCTGATGAGAAATCGGTCAGTAGTATTGTGCACTTAAATGCGGGTGCATTGTTTTTTCTCCGGCACCTCTAAATTTCTTTCTATTTACTTATTTG